ATGTTAAATTGTTAAAAAGATAAAATTAATTACACCGTTCCAATTGATTCATGCAAAACTTACTCAAAACAAACTAAACTCATCGAGAATATTGGAGAAAGCGAGCCAATTCTCAGGGGACTCCCCCAATGAGACTGACTCTGCAAGTCTAGGGCTTTGATTTGGTTGTTTTAGGGTTTGGCCAATCATGGAAAGAAGTAATAGGGAAAAAGTTAAAATCTCTTGAATAGAAAGTAGTTGGACTAGAAATCCGTACACTTGAAGGTGTAAAACTAGTGGGAGATAATTGGATTTTCATGAGGTATAAAGCATGTTTAGTGGCAAAAATATTTCTTACAAAGACATGGAATTTAAGAAAAATAAATATACTCTCATGTGGTGGATGCAACTATATAAATCCCTTATCTGTTTGACAGCATGAGAAAAACTTAATTCAGTCTGCCTAGAAGGTCTTAAAATGTCATAAACAGCCTTGAAAGATAGAAGTTGTCCAGAAGGATTATATTGCCAGAAGCAACAAATTATAGTTCTTGAGAACATAACTATATATGTGAAATCATTCTTTACGAAAATGTAGAAATCAAATTGTGGAATAATCCGATTCTCTATGAAATTTCTCGGAATTACAAATTGGACATCTAGAACAAGAGATATTATTTCAAAGATCTTTACAGGATTTTATATGGAAAATGCTCACTTATATTTGGTCTAGAAGAATAATAAAAGGAAGGAAAGCTAAAATAGTAAGTTTTACGAGGAGAGTATGCATAACTCCTATGTAAAAGATAAAAGTTTAGAAGCTTGTATCCAAAAGATTATTTGGACCTGAAGTCTAAGTAGACTGTGAAATAATTTTCCATCTGAAAGAGATATTATGAACTAGAATTTCAAAGACCCGAGAGGTTATATGACAATCATACCAATTTGTTCACTAAATTTTTGAATATAGTGATTCCCGAAAATATGGTATATATGACTGGAATACATATCCTGAAGATGTTGATTATAGGGGGAGAAATATGATTATGTGTGTGTGGTTGTATTCTTTTTTCTTATCATGATTTTTATCCCATTGGGTTTTTCCATGAATGGTTTTTAACGAGACAACAAAGAACACGCGAATGATAGACACACGTAAAGAGAAATGTTGTGATTCCAATGATGAAAGACTATCATTCTTCAAAGTCTTTAACATACATTGATGAGATCGAGAGAAAAAAAGATAATGATAAAGATGATCAACCTACGAGACCAATGAACTGTAGAAGAATGGTGACTAACGTGTCCTACAAATTCGTTCAAGTGAAGATTTGGCGAATCTATTTACCAAGGTGTTTCCGACAACTACTTTCAAGAAGTTACTTCATCATATTTGATCGCATCATCTCGAAGATTCAAGTGATTTACTTATGAGGGGGAGTAAAAGCACGCTGCACTCTTTTTCCTTTAACCATGGTTTTTCCCATTGAGTTTTTCTGGTAAGGTTTTTAATGAGGTAGCATCTCACATGCGCATTTGAGACCATATTTATATAATGGTCATCTAAGGAGAAGTGTTATAAATAATATGGGTATTATGTGGATGTCTATTATAGGTCCATTAGTAGATTCTAGAAGCCTTGATCTCTAACCTAAAGCCTAATAATTGTATCTCTATATATATTGTATCTTATATAATAGATCGATAACAGAGAGAAACAAACCCTAAAACCTCTTTGTTCACAACATAAATCTCTTATTTAAGATTTTTTTCATTAATAATTAATGTAGTTGACGGTTTCAAATGAATTGGTAGATACTTGATGATTTTTTAAATAAAAATCTCCATATTGAAATTTAAACTAATTGGTTGAATATATTTTAAAACCATATTCACAACTAAAGTATTTTTTAACATTGGACATATCATCTTATTTATAATCTAATATAATAAAATCAAAAGCCCCGTAATCTAATCTAGTGAGTTTATATATTATAACATGTTAAAAGAGATTACAAGTTGAAGATCCTAAATTATCACTTTAGAATTTTCTTTTAAACTTTTAAGTGTGAATAAAAGTAAATATTTGATTTAAGTGTTATATTTGAAAAAGATATATATATATATATACCACTTTAATTTATTGAAAAACACACAAATCTCTTAACTTTATATTTTATTTCTTAATTTACAAAATGTTGCCTCATATTATGTTATATTTTTATTCAATTAGAAAAAGGATAAACAAAAGAGATAGTCATAATCTTAGAACTTTTAGATACGCCTTGAGATTGCATGTGATGTTAAATTGTTAAAAAGATAAAATTAATTATACCGTTCCAATTTATTCATGCAAAATTACTCGAAGCAAACTAAACTCATAGAACTTTTAGATACGCGTTGAGATTGCATGTGATGTTAAATTGTTAAAAAGATAAAATTAATTATACCGTTCCAATTTATTCACGCAAAACTACCCGAAGCAAACTAAATTCATCGAGAAGATTGGAAAAAGCGGGCCAATTCTCAGGAGACTCCACCAATGAGACTAACTCTGCAAGTCTAGGGCTTTGATTTGGTTGTTTGTGGGTTTGATACTTCGATGAATTATTTAAACCCTCTTTTTTTAGTAAACTCTTCTCCAATTTAATGAAAATTCACCAAAACTGTTATACGTTCACAAAATCTGATCAAAGTTTCCAAAAGAAATAAAGCAATTCACAAATTATACGTACACAAACTCGACCTCTATCCACAAAATCTGATCAAAGTATCATAAAGACATAAACAAATTCTCCTTCTCCCATCACCCATCACTAGCCTTCACCTCCTCCTCATCTTACTGCACTCTCTTTTATAACTTTGATATTTTATCCACCATGGGCACATGCTAAATTAGGGTTATAAATTGCATGAAAACCAGTGCTGATCCTGAAATTTGAAGAGTACTGGAAGCAATTACATTTTTTTTCTTTTAATTTGTTACTCTTTATATAGATATATACATGTCCTCTAGACAATTGGCCTACTGTAACATGCAGCCCTTGTATTTTGAGTTATTTAGGTGTATATTAATTTATATGCCCAGTTGACCAAATAATTAGCTTTGTAGCCATGATTATTTAAAAAATAGGTAAGTATGAAAGAGAAATAAAATGCAAACCAAAAATATCCTTCTTTCTTGTATTAATTACACAAATGCCACTGATTAAAGGATATTAATGTGCGGTCGTCACTGTTCATTTTGATATCTACGACATTGTTCATCCGATAAAGAAAACCAGTCTCCATTGCTAGAGACAAATAACAAAACAATGACTTTTGTCATTAACAATTTTACTAGTAGTATAAATTATATTATATATGGATAAGTTTACAAATTATATGATAAACTCATATTTATCATGTTAAATTATTTATTATATCATACAAAATATAACAAAATTACATATAATGTGTTAAATATAAAATTTGCTCGATAATGTTATTCATATCAAAAACTTTATACATTACCATGTTTATTTATCCTGATAACTTAATTATTATTGTTAAATTATACATTAACATATTATGTTAACGTTAGTTTTATAATATTAAGTGGACACTGGTAACATGTTAAAGTATATATTACAAGATATAAATATGTAGATTATTTTTCATATGTTTTTCTCTTGATAATTAGATTGGTATTGGCTAACTTATATACTACCATATTTATATTTTTATAAATTTAAGAATTATTTTTAACTTATATATTAGCATATTTACTTATCGTGATAATTTAATTATTACTTTTAACTTGTATGTTAGCATTTTTATTTACATTCCTAATTAAATTGTTATCATTTTTTTGGGTCAAAATATAATTGATGGGTTAAAATGCTCTAATCGAGAAAAGACTACAAAATAGTCAAAATAATTGGATCCAGATATTCCAATGAAGTGGAAAGAGACTTACGATTCACCTAGATATAATTGATGGTCTTAGCCATACGGCTCCAAGTATTGAACATTTCGATGACGGATTCAAGAGGGTGGATGTTCGACATGAGATTATAGAATTGGTTGGGTTGGTTATCTCTGAAGATCTAAACTGCTGCTCGTTGATCATCGAGAGACACTATGGAATCGGTCGGAGCTCCCATCACTTATGAAGTCGAAGATGATGAATAAGGTTGATGTTGCTTGTCCCAATAGTGTCGTCGTTTTTATCACGGTGTGTCGACATTAGTTTTGTAGGAGAAGAAGTAAACAAAATAATAAGAAGGTGTATAAAGTAAATTCTTTTGTCCAAACACTATAGAAAAAAACTGTCAGAACTCTTACTTAATTTTTGATTCTTCTGAACATAGATAGTGATAATATCCTTATATTTACTTACTTAGATATTACAAGATCCTGATTTTTGTTGTGTATACTATGTATGAACGTAGTGTTTATATATTTAAACTTAAAAGTTTTTGGTATTAGAATAAACTGAGATATTTGGTATATAGAGTTAAACTCATGACATCTAAGCACTAACACAAAGAAACAATCAAGGCATGAGAAAACAGTAGTTCAAAATAATAAGATTAATTCACTTTGATTTATAAAAGCACACAAATTATGCAAGTTTCAGTGTAAGTAAACAAATCTCTAGACTAGGTCGTCTAGCTAGGTCTAGAACCAAGTCTTCTCGAATCTGAATTCTGGATAGTCCATTGATCGAGAAGACTAAGAAACCCCTAAAAGCTCCAGATTCTCTTTGACAATAGTGAATACTTGTAGGATAAGCTTCATAAGCTTCAGAGTTTAGCATCATAATTTTTGACATCACTTTCTATCCAACTAATATTACCTGTAATTTAAATAATTTATTAATTATATTGATATAAAATTAATAATAAATAGAAAAATTTAGAGATTGAAGAAATATCTTAAATTACCTTTGATGTAAAAAAATTTCCCTTTAAATGGACTTCCTAAATCAAGGATAAATCTCATTACATATCTGATACAATTTTTTTCCTAAATGTCTTGTTTTTATGGCCCCCCAAAAGGTAAAATATATGTATGGGTTGTCTCTAAAACTAAATGATTATCACTTTACCCTCAATATATCACATGCCTACACGTAAGGGTGAAACTAATATCTATCCTAAAAATTTAGTAAAATTGAAAATTAATTAGTCCAGCAAAGAAATAAGAAAAACCTATTGAGTTGAAAACCTTTTATTTACTATATAAACAATCCTCCTCATTCTAACAAAACAAAACAAAACACACATAACAAAGATAATAGATATGAGGGGGAAGGTTAAGTTATCGTTCATAGAAAATGATACAGTGAGGAAAACAACATTCACCAAAAGGAAGAAAGGAATAATGAAGAAACTCCACGAGCTAGCGACTCTATGTGATGTTGAAGCATGTGCGGTCATCAATAGCCCGTACAACTCGATCCCGGAGGCTTGGCCATCAAAGGAAGGCGTTGAAGAAGTGGTGTCGAATTTTATGGAGTTTTCGGTGATAGACCGGACCAAGAAGATGGTGGATCAAGAGACATTTATACGTCAAAGGATCGCCAAAGAAACAGAAAAACTGCAAAAGCTACGTGATGAGAACCGAAATTCTCAAATTCGAGATTTAATGTTCGGTTGTCTCAAAGGGGAGATAGATGTTTATCATCTTCATGGAAGAGATCTTCTAGATTTGAGTTTCTTTATTGATAAGTATCTCAATGGTCTTATTCGTAGGGTTGAGATCCTTACGGAGAACGGTGAGTCTTCTTCTTCTTTACCTCCTCCTATTGGGGCAGCTCCTATTGGTGTGGATGCATCTGCTCCAATCGGATTTGATGGTCATATGATTCAATATCAAAATCAAGATCAGCAAAAGCCGGTTAAGTTCCAATATCAGACTCTTTTTGATTTTTATGATCAGATTCCAAAGAAAATCCATGATTTTAATATGAAAATGAATATAGATTCAAATCAAAGTATGATTTTGGATTTGAATCAAAATCTTAATGTTGGAGAGAACGAGGGCATTCCTTGCTTGGACATCAACAACTACCAACCTGAAATCAATGGTCTCACTACCATCACCACTGTCCTCACTGATGTTTGTGCTCCTAACATCACCAATGATCTCTAGCTAGTCTAAAGGATGTATTTCGAGTGAAGTGTTTGATCATCTGCATTTTTTTTTTTCCATTTCAGAAAACAAAATTTATCCGGTCTAAAAAAAAAAAAAAATTTATATGTGATGTTTTTTTTTTAATTGTTGTAATACTTAAAAGTTTTTTTCTTTAAGTTCGTTTCCATTGATGTATTTGCCTCAAAAAGTTTAGTTCTATTTGAAGAAGTTTAATCATTACAAAATAAATAGTTTTAACTATCTTTTTAAATACTAACCTCCAAGTAAACATAAGTGTGCACATTATTTTTAAAACAAGTTCTTTATTTACTTTTTTTTTTATTTGCTTTGTAATTATTTAAAAGATAAAAAATATCTAAAATAGTTTTGATTAAGTCAATTTCTTTCCTCTGCCTGTATATATTTTATTGCTATGTCAGGTTTTCCTCCTCCTTAGAATTTAACTAAAAAAGATTATGAATGCCATTGCCATATTTTGTTGGATTCAAATGCTGATAACAAAAAAGAAAAGGATTTTAATTTTATGTGCCATACTATTTCAAGATGTTTATAGCAAATTCAACTACGTAGTTTAGGTGACCACCTAATTTTCTAATGCATATCTCATCTATGGAGTCGAGAAGGCGTCCCGTGGGATGCCAAAAATCAAACACAAAAGTATGTATAGTAGTGCTGACAATTGCGAATCTCCTGCTGTACATATTCAACCGTAATTGACCCTAACTTCAATAGCTTTGCCATGTCTTGGAACCTAAATTAGAATCCTTACCATCCTAAAAAGTATCCTAACGGATAATATATTGTCGTAACCACCAATAATAAACCCGATGAAGTTATTAGTTTCCAAATTAAGCTTAACCTGAACATCCGTGACACATGAATACGTTGGATATCAAGCCCTCATTCTTTTTTAGGAAAACACAATTCTTTCCACATATTGGCACGTTTTTGGGAAAAACATAGAATAGTACGTAGAAAATCTAGCAAGATACGGAAACATAAGAAATTAAGGAATCTTAAAAGTCTATTCTTTCGCTTTGTTTCCACACTGGATAAGATTTCTGAGATCAAGAGAATCGCAAATAAAGTAAATTTTATGCGTTGGACCTAAATATATTTAGTCGATAATTTACATTCTTGCCTGTTAAAAATGACTTGTGTGTATTTTCTTTTGAAACAATGCTGTGTTTCTTCATAAATAATATCAATTTTTAAAAGTCGCTAATGCCGATAAACAAATTTCTAAACTTGTGTAAAATAGAAACCGTCATCCATTCACGTGGTTATCTTTTATTTCTGTTTCGTTTAACTACTAAAGTTATACATGAATTTGTTTTTTTCATTGTTTTACGCAACCATGGATGCGATATCTTAGTTATATAAACTCATCGTTTCAGATTCTCAATATATTGCATCACATGTTTAATGATATGTTAGGATTAAAGGGGTCAAGGTAATTGGAAGCTCGGATGCAACGAAAAACGAAGTCACTAAACCAATAATATATCCGAGAGTTTGCACTTTCTTTTTGTGCAAGTCTAGGGCTTAGATTTGGTTGCTTTAGGGTTCGATACTTCGATGAATCATATCAACCCGCTTTTTTTTAATGACTTTGTAAACTCTTATTCAATGTAACGGATATATTCTTTTGAAAACTCCTCTTCAATTTAATGTATATATTTTTGTTTTTCGTACAAATATATGGTATTAGCCATTGTGGATATATTTAGCTTGAACAGAAAATATTAGTATAAAAATCTTTTTAGCATATTATTTCTTAAATCTTTTGAAAACTCTATGATATGACTTGATTAAAACTTGACAATCACCTTCAAAGCATGTCAAATTGTACCCTGAATAACAATGCCAGATACGTTCTTATATGTAGACATCAGTCTACTGAATACCAACGAGGCAATTTTTAAAGTCGCTAATGTCGATAAATTGTTTTCCAAAATGGTGTAAAATTGAAACCGTCATCCATTCTCATGGTTATCTTTTATTTCTGATTCGTTTCACTACTAAAGTTATACATGAATTTGTTTTTTTTTTCATTGTTTTACGCAACAATGGATGCGATATCTTAGTTATATATACTCATCATTTCAGATTCTCAATATATTGCATCGCATGTTTAATGATATGTTAGGATTAAAGGGGTCAAGGTAATTGGAATCTCGGATGCAACGAAAAACGAAGTCACTAAACCAATAATATATCTAAGAGTTTGCACTTTCTTTTTGTGCAAGTCTAGGGCTTGGATTTGGTTGCTTTAGGGTTTGATACTTGGATGAATCATATCAACCCGCTTCTTTTTAATGACTTTGTAAACTCTTATTCAATGTAATGGATATATTCCTTTGTAAGCTCTCACTACAAGAAAAACGTATATTGATAGCGCAGAAAAACTGCTATCGTAGGTAATACATAGCGAAATTACAACTGCTATGATCTCGGCAGCTATGGTAGATGCCCCACCTACGATAGCATTAATTTTGTCTGCTATAGTATCTTCATATACAATAGCACTTTATTAGTGTTATTATTTACTTTTTCATAGCAATAATTTAATGCCATTATTTAGTTGTTCATAACAATTTATGAATTTTTCCAATTTTTTCTTACAATTTGATTTATATAATTCTTATATTTGAATCCTGTTTTTAGAATTTATTTAATTGGATAGAAAAACTTTAATATTTCATAAATTTTGAACAATGTTTACATAACATCATACCAATCATTATACTAATTAACATCGAAAGTATACCTAAGTCTTAACCAAAATAAAACTAACATCATAAGGATAAACTAACTTCTTGAGATATAACCCATCCAAGCTTGCTCATCTTCTTGCATTGGCTGCATATAATTTGACATAAAAAGTGAGAAATATTGTCAGATAAGAAAATTAGGTAGAAGATGTTATGTCAACTTGGTTTAGATAATTCACATACTAGTACATAAGAGTGATTGTTGTGGTGACCTAAGACGATATTTTTTGTCTGACTACCCTAGATTTAATTTCATGCCCCAATGTCGCATAAGCCAAAGATCAGTCAAGTCAAAAAGAACTACAAGTAATAATTTAGAAGTAACAAACTTACCCATGTATATTAAGATGGGACAGGTGACGTCTTCTTATTCTTGTTGCTTTAGTAGCCTTAAGAGTAAACGACTTTCTTGGCTTCACTTTAACTCCTGCAAATACACAAATCGATTATCAACACTCAGCTCCATGGAAAAATATTTAGTCAGTCAAGGGTCACGATGTTGAAGAAAAATAGGAAAAGTAGAGACACTCATCGAATTCAATTACAAAGTCAAAAGAAAGAAAACAAACTTACCTTTGTCTATTTTGAAACAGCCCAATGAGCAGTTGCAGGCCAGCCATATAACCAATTAAAAAAAACAAATTGAGATCTATTAACTTATATCTAATTATCACAATATGCATAAACTCTTTACACGATATAAAAACAAAGAAAACTTTCAACAATATGATTGCAAAAATCAACATACACGTAATTTGCAACATCTTCATTGAATTTCCTCCCATTCAGTCAAATCCCTTTTATGAAGGTCTGGAAAAAAAATGAACAACAAGGAAAACAAAACACATAAGCCACAATCCAACAAAAGAATGCAAAGTAAAAGAGAATCGTTTAGACCAACATGCACATTATCAATCAACTGAAACATGTAAAACCTTGGTTATTGGTGGAAGTGAGTTATAGTATCTGCAATCCATAATACCAAATAACAGGCACGATTAGAAACAATTTGAAAGATACCGTGAAATCAAGACATACAAATTCCATCCATCTATAAACTTGTAATCACTTCCAGCGCCTTTCGAACAAGAACTTTGTGGCATCGTTCTACCATCTGCATGTAAATTTCAAAAATCAACACAAAATCCTTCGCCTTCTCCATCTTCAATCCTTTAAATCCCCAAACTAAATCTCCATCTCTTACCCTCCAACGTGATTCCTTAGTGAAAATTGAACCAAATCCAAGTCACTTACATTAACATTCTCGTTGACATAAAAACACTTGTTATGAGAATCACCAAATCAAATTTCTACATATTAAACAAGAATAGGATTGAAAATTCAAAATGAACTCACTTGCAGCTCCTTCAACGCTCCTGGAATTGCGCCAAACCAATCGTTTTGATTCCATCTCAATTGTACAAAGCCTTCTCTCGGTTATTCCTTCACCAAATTAGACCAATCTGAAACCTCAATCGACACCAAAACGGAACTTCTCCTCCATCAACACCAAAATCGGCGGCTGAATTTAATAGCGGCAATGAATCAAATGAGAAGAAAGACGATGTTTGCAACAAAGACCGTGAATGTCTAGGCTGTAAAGTCGCCGACAAAGACCGTGAATGTCTAGGCTTAAAATAAGCCCAATCGCTCTGCCTCTCCTCGAGCTGCTCCGTCGCAGCCTCCCTCACAATCATAGATGGCTCCCTCATCACACGTCTGCTACTCGCACAACTCAGAAACCTCGCCGATTCTATCAAACCTTGTCTCCTAACAGATCTCCGTTCCCCACCGTTAAACCAAAATCGAAACTTTATAGAACTGTCACGACACCGAATCAAAAGAAATAAGTACAATAGAAGAAATAAATCAATTGAGTAAGATACACATGCCTTCAATCGGAGTTCTATCCAGAAAATAGATCTGAAATTAGGGCCGACGGTAAGTTACACAGCTAGCGGCTATGAATTTAGGGCAGAAGTGTTAAGCTTGAGGGTTTAATTTGTGGCTAGATGATGGAGTTAGTGTGTATAAGAGATTTTAGGGCAGAATTATTAAGCTTGAGGGTTTTCGAGCAAGTGTTGAAATGAAAAGAGATAGAACAAAAGAAAAAAGGAGAAAATAAGAAAAGAGTTCGAAAAAGTGAAAAATTGGCTAAGTAATTGGCGGAGTAAGTGAAAAAAGTTTCCCGCTTACTAAAACTATATCTTAGCATTTATGCACTGCTATAATATCAAAACCAAATTACAACTTTATCTTCGATAGTAATTTCGAAAATCGTGCTATAAAACAGTGCTATCAATGTGAGCTTTTTTTGTAGTGTTTTCTTCAATTAATGTAAATTTTTTTTTTCGTACAAATATATTGTGTTAGTTATTGTGGATATATTTAGCATGAACAGAAAATATTAGTATAAGAATCTTTTTAGCATATTATTTCTCACTCCATGAAATGACTTGATCAAAACTTGACAATCACCATCAAAGCATGTCAAATTGTACCCTGAATAACAATGCCAGATACCTTCTTATGTCGACATCAATCTACTGAATACCAATGAGGCAATGCTAACCCAATGTGAACGGTAATAGAGAAATCTGCGATTTTAAAGCCAACACCAATTTGAGATCAACATATGAGATTCTTAAAAGATTTAAATAAGCATTATTGTTACACTCGACACATTAGTTTTGCAAGAAACATTCTTATGGCAGCAGTAGATCAACTATTTCTTAAGGAGCGAGTTCACAGAACATGCAACTATTTAATGACCCATGCGATGGTATCGTTCAATAGACTACAATATACATGTTTCCATATATATACTAGCTAGAAGATGGAGAGTAATAATGATTTAATAGCTTAGCATTATTCTCAGGAAAGTGCGACATAAATCTAAGAAGGAATGATAAGAGCACCCTCAATGGGGTTTCTAAACAATATTGGTTTCTTAAATAAAATTAAAGTGTAAGTATAGATAAATAATATTTTTTAATTATGGGTACCTTAAATTTGGAGAAACTTAATCCAATTGTTTCTTAGTTAAAAAACAATTGGGCTAAGTTTCTCCAAATTTAAGGTACCCATCTAATATTTAAATAATATATATATTTTATTATTTATTAAGGATCATGTTTAGAAACCCCCATTGAGGTTGCTCTAAGTGTATACAAGAAGAAAGAAGTCGCACATGGGAGAGAAGAAAACAGAGAGATCAAGTGAAGACACATACAAACGAAAACAGTGTATATAAGCTTTAGTTTTATCTTGTAGAACTTTTATTAGTACAAGTGTAAACAAATTAAGGCAAGGGCTTGTTCCTATTCTTGAGAACGCTGTTGATAAAAATATCCTTGTCGACTTGCATGATTTGTTCCAGAGATTCTTGTTTGATACATCTTTGATTTTGATGACCGGGTATGATCCAAAATGTTTATCTATTGAAATGCCTAAGGTTGAGTTCGGTGACGCAGTAGATGGTGTCTCTGACAGAGTTTTCTATAGACATGTCAAGCCGGTTTTCTTGTGGAGGCTCCAATATTGGATTGGTGTAGGACTCGAGAAAAGATTGAAAAGAGGTCTTGCGGTTTTCGATCAACTTCTCGAGAAGATCATAACGGCTAAAAGAGAGGAGATCAAAAGTCTTGGGACTCAACATCACTCAAGAGGAGAGGCCATAGACGTTTTGACATACTACATGACTATGGACACGACCGAATATTAGTACTTGAAACCAAGTGATGATAAATTCATTAAAGACACTATTTTGGGTTTCTTGATAGTGGCAAGAGACACAACAAGTTCAGCTCTCACTTGGTTCTTCTGGCTTCTGTCCAAGAACCCTGAAGCAATGAACAAGATTCGACAAGAGGTTAACAAGAAGATGCCGAGGTTTGATCCCGCAGATTTAGACAAGCTCGTGTATCTACACGGTGCCGTGTGTGAGACGCTAAGGTTATACCCACCAGTCCCATTTAACCACAAGTCACCGGCAAAGCCAGACGTGCTTCCAAGTGGGCATAAAGTCGATGAGAATTGGAAGATTGTCATATCTATGTATGCATTAGGGAGGATGAAATCTGTTTGGGGAGATGACGCGGAAGATTTCAGACCAGAGAGATGGATTTCATACAGTGGAAGGTTAAAACATGAACCTTCATATAAGTTCTTGGCGTTTAACGCTGGTCCAAGAGCTTGCTTGGGAAAAAAGTTAACGTTCTTGCAGATGAAGACAGTGGCTGTGGAAATCATACGAAACTATGACATCAAGGTCGTTGAAGGGCACAAAACCGAACCTGTTCCTTCTGTTCTTTTTCGCATGCAACATGGTCTCAAAGTTAATATCACTAAGATCTAGTGACAGTTTTATTTTTATTTTGCTGTTATAGATTTCAATAAAAGATGCATGTTCACTCATGCTTAGACTTATTTTGCAAACACGTCTTTGTATCAGTCTTTTGCTTTTAAGCAGCTCGTATTTCATAATAACATCATGGTTTCACAATATGTGCTCACATTTTGTGGTCTTAAGAAATCTGATGTTTTGTTACCATTTTTTTTTTTTTTTTTGGCAGCTATGTTTGTTACCATTATGGGACCCTTCCCCACAGTTATAACTTATAACACCCAAAAACACAGGTTCATAATAACATGTGTCTTGACGAAAACATAAAAATAACATGCAAATCTATATATAATAGCAATCTAATCAATACCATTTGCACATTTGAACGATTGCGTCTTTTTATCGCAACCTTTCGTTTAAATCGGTTATTTTTTTACGGTTATGTCTTTTTATTGAATTTTCTCTTTGAATTTTCGTTGAATTATTTACGGCTATATTTGTTCAATTACAGTCGTATCTTTTCAGTTTACAGTTATATCTTTATAGTTGCATTAGTTCATTTAAAGTTACGTCTTTCCATTATATAATTTCATTGTATTTTTTGTATAGTTAGTAATACTACGAAGTTTTTTTACATCAACCATTAGACTACATATCAAATTGGTTTTATTAACCAAAATAACAACCTCAATAAATGCATTTTGCACTTCTGAACGGTTGTTTCTCTTTATCGTAACTTTCCGTTAAAATATTAACGGTTATTTTTTTGGGTGTGTTTTTTTATCGCAACTCTTCATTAAAATATTGACGGTTATTTTTCGGTTGTGTATTTTTATTGCAACTTTCAGTTAAAATATTGGTTGTTACTTTATTCGTTTGTGTCTTTTTATCGCAGCTATCCGTTAAAATATTGACGATTATTTTTTCTCGGTTGTGTCTTTTTATCAAAATTTTCCGTTAAAATGTTGATGTTATTTTTTCTCGGTTGTGTCTTTTTATCGCAACTCTTCGTTAAAATATTGACGGTTAATTTTTTAGTTGACGGTTATTTCTTTTTCTGGCAACTTTTCGTTAAAATATTAACGGTTACTTTTTTCGTTGACGGTTAGTTTTTTGGATGTGTTTTTTTCTCGCAACTTTCCGTTAAAATATTGACGGTTACTTTTTTGTTTCTGTTTTTTATCATAACTTTTTGTTAAAATATTGACGATATTTTTTTCTCGATTGTGTCTTTTTTTGTCTGTTAAAATATTGACGGTTATTTTTTTTCTCGGTTGTCTCTTTTTATCGCAATTTTTTGCTAAAATATTGACAGTTATTTTTTCTCGGTGGTACCTTTTTATCGCAACTCTTCGTAAAAATATTGATGGTTACTTTTTTCGTTGACAGTTATTTTTTCGGTTATGTCTTTTTATCGTAACTTTCCATTAAAATATTGACGGTTATTTTTTTTTGTTTGTGTCTTTCGATCGCAACTTTCCATTAAAAGTTTGGCAGTTATTTTTTCTCGGTTGTGTCTTTTTATCACAACTCTTCGTTAAAATATTGACGGTTTTTTTTTTCGTTGACGATTATTTTTTTGGCTGTGTCTTTTTATCGCAACTTTCTGTTAAAATATTAACATTACTTTTCTCGTTTGTGTCTTTTTATCGCAACTTTTCGTTAAAATATTAACGGTTATTTTTTCTCGGTTGTATCTTTTTGTCCTAGCTCTTTGTTAAAATATTTACGGTTACAATTTTTCATTGATGGTTATTTTTTTGGTTGTGTCTTTTTATCGTAACTTTCACTTAAAATATTGACGGTTTCTTTTTTTGTTTTTGTCTTTTTATCGTATCTTTCCTTTAAAATATCGACGGTTTCTTTTTCTCGGTTGTGTCTTTTTATCGCAACTTTCCGTTAAAATATTGACGTTTGTTTTTCTCGGTTGTGTCTTTTTATCGCAACTTTTCATTAAAATATTAACGGTTATTTTTTTCTGTTTGTGTCTTTTTATCTATGTTGCATGGAAACTCTCTTCGAGGTCCGTTTCCCGTTTCTGAAACGTTTTGGAAACGGAAACTTTTCGGAAACACGAAAAACGTCACGGAAACACGTTTTCTAAAAATTTATGTTTGGAAACACGATGGAAACTCACGTTTCTAAAATGGAAACGCGAGATATCCTTTTTATTGACTTTGGAAACTTAATAAATAAAAGTTGAAAAGATTAAGATTTATAGAGTAATTATTTCAAAGTTGAGGTTTTGGACATCCATGTACTTTTTTATC